ATATATATATATATATATAAACACGTACATGTATACATATATATATTTTTACCTGTAATATTTACAATTATATTATTCGTTGGTCATACAAAATTAATAATTTCTTTTCCTACTTTGTATTATATGTTAACTAAAAAAAATAGACACACCTATGAAATAAAAGAAGAAATTAGAATAAGAAACTTTAAATAACAGAACGTTTAATAACTAAAATATTGAAAAATTTCTCATTAATATCTTGATATAGTATACAATGAAATGACAGATATAGCACACATGTTTTATATAATTTGACCAATAGTCTTACAGTTTTGTCAAGTATTATGGCAAGTATTGTCACAGTACATAACTTAAAAGTTATATACTGTTTAAATATAAATGTACACTTTTCTTCCTGTTTTACATATTTTAATATTTATCAAAAAATCTTGCCATAGTAAAACTTTTCATAACTCCATAAAAAATGTATCTTGGTATAGTAAAAGATAAATAAATCTTTCTTTGCAGTTCTTTTGCAACATATAGATATTATATGTGAAATGTAAAATATGCAAAATTATAAAACTCAAGCTAATCGAACATGTAATGCGTATTTCAGCTGGCAACCCGAATCTAAATTCCCATTTGCTCAAGTCCGTCTACCTCCAAAAGATGGTTCCAAAGCAGAATTTCAAGAAAACCAGGAGATTGAAGTATTCTCTAGATCTAACGATCAAGAAGCTTGGGGCTGGTGGAAAGCACTTATCAAGGTAGGCAAAGCAATACTTTGACAAATGGTGACTAGTACAAATACTTGTAGTGCTTATGCTGATACATATTGCATACATGTTATATATTATACTGAGTGAAGAGATATATGAAAGTTTGATGTATGTTATTTGTGTGATGCAGTTGCTAAAACACATAAGTTGGCATTATTAGATTCTTTCTGTTTTTCTTTTTATATAAAAATTAAATCTTTATCTTGTAATTATATATAATTTTTCAGATGAGTAAAGGAGGTTTTCAAGTAGTCGAATACTTGGGATGGGACTACACATATACCGAAATTGTAGCTAGTGAGCGACTGAGAGCCAAAAATCCAAATCCCCCTATTGACAAAAACACATTTCACAAGATCGAAATTGAAGTACCTGAAGAGCTCAGAGAATTGTAAGTAAAAGTGTTTTAAATAAAAGAAGGAAATATAAATAATTTGTTTTTTATAAACATAAATATCTATATTAATTTTCAAATGTACAGATAGCAATGTTATTTTACTTTGAGAAATTTATTTTGGATATTTATCTTTATATTATTAATTGTAAAGAAATAATTAAATATCCTGTGCAGTGCAAAGATGGACAATGCACATAAGGAATTTCAAAAGGCGATAGGGGCGGCAGTGTGCCGATATGTGCCTGAACGAGGAGTACTGCTGGCCATCTCCCGTCATGAAAATATACATCGTCACAGTAGCATGCTCCAAGAAATGCACTTTAGAAACTTATCGCAAAAGGTAAATTTTTTATTTCAATATTTAAAAAAATCAGACGAGTGATTTCAGCAATTTGCTAAACAACTCTTATAAATATTCCGTACTTATGTACGGTATAGTTATGTATGTATAGACTAACAACTTGTTGAAAATGCTATTCTTGAATGTCGCGAAAGTTTATATTCTTGAATCTTTAATTCTTAAATTTCTATATAATATTTTGAGCGTCTCTTTCAAAAAAGTTTTTAATCATACATTTTTTTTTTTTTTTACTAATATTTCATAGGTTTTGCTATTGAAGAGAACGGAAGAAGCAGCGCGTCAACTTGAGTCCACTAAACTTCAAACAATAGGGGGGTAAGTTCTTACCATTTTTTTGGTTTTTGTAAATAATAAAAGAATCTTGTGAGATTGTTTACCTGCTCTTGTCCATGTACTGTCCTGGTTACCATCCTGTCTGTGGTTTGCATTTACTGGCAGAAAATCAGATCACAAGATTTCTAATCATCAATTGATATGTGCGCTTTAGTATCACGTAACCTTATGTATGCGATTACACAGGCACATCATAAGTAGTGTTTACCGTTCTTAATTTTTCTTCTTTTTTTTCCTTTTCTTTCTTTCATCTATCACATAGAATATACAATATTAGATAGAATATTTAACAAATTTAACATTTTTGAAATTTGTATAACTGTACATTTATTCAAATTTCTCTTCTGTTATAACAGAATAGGTGCAAGTACAAAACAATTAAATATGCACAACTATAGTTGATTCGACCTTTCCGTTATAGCAGATATCATTTGTAATAAAACAATATTAAATTCTAAGCATGATCATATGCATTGCAGACACAATCGTTATTAATTATTTTATTTTAAGGACGGAATGCTATCTCGTTAAGTTTGCCAAGTATTCCATAATAATTGATAAATTCTTTAAATCAAAATATATTTAAGTGCATTATATATGGTAAAATTATATATATGTTACATATATAAATATTTTGATCACTCCTTGAATTTATGCTGCTTTTGATCTTTTACTCGTAATTACATGTCAAGAGATAGAAATAATATTTTAATAGACATGCACATGATAAAA